AACAAGTCTTAAAAAGGCTTTTGCATTAGAAGGCACCGTGGATCTCTACAGAATAGGAACCAACAGCTTGGGAAATCTGTACAGCCTCAAGAATCACAGAGTCACAGAATCACAGAATGTTGGGGATTGGAAGGGACCTCAAAAGATCATCCAGCCCAATCCCCCTGCCAGAGCAGGAACCTAAATGAGATCACACAGGAAGGTGTCCAGACGGGTCTTGAATGTCTCCAGAGAAGGAGACTCCACCCCCTCCCTGGGCAGCCTGTCCCAGGGCTCTGTCACCCTCACTGGAAAGAAGTTTCTTCTCAAGTTGAAGCAGAACCTCCTGTGTTCCAGCTCACACCCACTGCCCCTTGTCCTACCATTGGGCATCACTGAGAAGAGCCTGGCTCCATCCTCATGACATCTGCCCTTAACATATTTGTAGACATTAATGAGGTCTCCCCTCAGTCTCCTCTTCTCCAAGCTAAAGAGCCCCAGCTCCCTCAGCCTTTCCTCAGCAGGGAGATGCTCCACTCCCTTCATCATCTTGGTGGCTCTGTGCTGGACTCTCTCCAGCAGTTCCCTGTCCTTCCTGAACTGTGGGGCCCAGAACTGGACACAATATTCCAGATGTGGCCTCACCAGGGCAGAGTAGAGGGGGAGGAAAACCTCTCTGGACCTACTAACCACACCCCTTCTAATGCACCCCAAGAACACCTGCTAATTACTGCAGCACAGCCAACCAATTACTGAATGACTTACCTTTACCTTACTGCAGACATATGACAAAATACCTGGAATTATTAACTCTCAAAATACTATTTGATTCCAGTATCAAAGCCTGCAGATGTTACCACTTTATTTTACTAGATCCCCAAATATATAATTTGTTTTTAGAGGCCAACCTACCTCTTAGCCAAGACAACCCATATAAGCTCCTAAACTGTCAAAACTCAGAGAAGTGATATAGTATGTCCACTAAAAAAACCCACACTTCCTCACAAGTCACGCAGCTGACTCTGATCTACTTTCTAAAACTCAGTCTTTAAACAGTAACTAGAAGTTACTGCGTGTACTTATTAGTCAGGAAGTGCATACATAGCTTTAAAAGCACCCTCAACAGCATTAATTCTTAAACAGATACGGAAGTGAGCTAAAGCAGAATTTAAATAGCATCTTCAAAGCTCTCCTAATAAAATAAGTGAGTTTTCCTCACAAAAATCGCAGTATGAGTTTATGCAAGAGAGGAACAATTTAACCTGAACGACTATACATCAAAACCACAGCGGTACAGAGGCAAAACAGCCGTTACAGTCCTAAGAGGAGAAAGGAAGCTATTGAGTCTTCACAGCATTGGAGCTCAGCTAAGCGTGGTGTTAGCCACAACAGGAGGATGCTTTCAGCAGGCTGACGGTTAAGGTATGACACAGGAGAGCTGCATGCAGTTTTAACAGCTCTATGACTAGTTTTAAACTGAAGGAACACACACTCACCCACATCCGAGTGCTCACATGAGCCTTTTCTAGCCTTGTTCGCAGCACCCAGTTCACCAGATTAGGTTTTTAAAGACAAGTTCTCAAAACATTGCAGATGAACATTAGCAGCAAACTAACTTATTCACCTTAAATTACATTAAATACATTTTAAATCTAAAGGTGCATTTATGGCAAAATTCATTTAACTAAGTTTCAGATTAAACAAATAGCACTTCAAGTGATCAATCAGGTTCCAAAAGCTCACACAACCTCGAAGTCTGACACTGGAAGTGCAGCATTTAACAGAATCATAGAATGGTTTGGATTGGAAGGGGCCTTAAAGATCATCCAGTTCCAACCCCCCTGCCATCAGCAGGGACACCTTCCACTAGACCAGGTTGCTCAAAGCCTCATCCAACCTGGCCTTCAACACTTCCAGGGAGGGGGCATCCACAACTTCCTTGGGCAACCTGTTCCAGTGTCTGACCACCCTCACAGTGAAGAACTTCTTCCTAATATCTCATCTAAACCTCCCCTCTTTCAGTTTAAACCCATTTCCCCTTGTTTTGTCATTAGTTGCCCTTATGAAAAGTCCCTCCCCAGCTTTCTTGTAGCCCCTTCAGGTACTGGGAGGCCGCTATAAGATCACCCCAGAGCCTTCTCTTTTCCAGGATGAACAACCTGAATGCCAAGCTGAACCAAAAGTGCCACTCTGTGCAGATCTCTCTTGAACTGGTACAGCCATTCATAGGCACTGACTACTCCAACCTCTTTCTTTTCCATGACAGATTAGAGAATTGAGAAAGTTACCATGCTCATTACCACCACCAGTAAAACGGTGTCTCATATTTCCCCTTTATGACAAAACAGTGACTGCTGCTTCCTGGGCTGAGTGAAAAGCAAAGGAAGTGGTAATTGAGACCAGCCAGGATACGATTCTGCTTTTCCCCGTTTGTTTACAAGTCTGACTACAGTTGCTTCCCTGGTAAGCTGTTTATTCCTAAATGGCACAATTAGCAACTCCCCAAAGACTCCCATCACCTCTGTGAGAAAGCAAGCCTCGACTGGACTCCTCCTGAAGTTTACATCTATCGATTTGGATTCCCCTTGCCCTCTTTTGTCAATTAGTTTGACTACAAACTCTCTGGAATAATTTCTCTCTGCTTCTCTCTGAGAAAACAAGAAACTGGGGGCAAGATGTTGAATTTATGGTTGAAATAGCTATCTATGATTTAGTTATCAGACAGTCCATATTTTTGATGGATAGATCGCAGCACACACAGAGTTAACCAGAAATATCACAGATAAATTCTAAAAGGTTTAATATACCCTTTTAGCTCACTTCTGGAGGCAACAGCAAGTGTTCAGAAACAGAACATCAACTCTACTACATTGGAGGAACACACAAAACCATTTTCAAGATAAATGCTACTTAAAATATTTTAAGAGCATCTCACTGCACTGTAAAAAAATCACTCACAGTCTTGTCTTAATGTAGCAAAGGATGACACAAGGAAATGACCAGTTCCAGTAGAAGACCCAGAGAGTAATTTTAATCAGTGTAATCAAATTTACTCACAGTAAAAAAGTGCTTTTCATACTGTGGCTCATTTCGATCTAAGTAAAGGCTAAAAAACCCCTCAATTTTCCATCAAGTATTGCCTCATGCTCAAAACATACCAGGCCAATGAACTCTTTTCTCCCCACATTTGTTACATCCCTTATCTTCTACAAGATTTTCTGAAAATTTGAGCTAGCAGCATCTCCCAAAACCCACTTCTCAACTGCAATGAGCCAACTGTGCCCATAGGAATCATATCCTCCCTAGGTCGGGGGGGGATAACATTATATCTAACTTTTGTGTTTGCACATTACATTGAACCCAATTCCTGAAGGACTCATACAGAAAAAAAACTACACTTTTAAAAGAAGCAAGTGTACCATGTGAAGATTACCATATTTACACTCCCCAAACCCTGTCTCAACAAACCCTAAGAGTCAGTCGTATCATCTCACAAAGAAACGATGTTAAACAACAACCCAGAAAGAAACTCCCATTTCTTAATTCATTCTTCAGCACTGTCAGTGAAAAATAAAACAGCATTAACAATGCCTTCTGGAGGCACCATCAGAGTTTTTTGTTGGAGCTCAGTATTATAGAATATGCTACATAGAGTTCAATATTATTCCAGAAACACGTCAGCACTTCTCTGCTGTCCCTGCTCCCCCAAGTAAGTCAAGCAAATAGTTGCCAGGGTGTTAACCACATGTTCTCCCCAGAGCACTTATCTTCAGCCACTGAGTGGTTTTCGCTTTTTTTCCACTGTTTGTTCTTTTTTTTTTTTTTTTTTTAAATTCAGCACCTTTTCCAAAATCCTGACATGAATTTAAAGTTACAAATGTATGCTTTGCTTTGGATATCTCTGTCCGTTAGACCTGCTGCCTAACCAACGGTTAGACAAACACACAAGATTAACCTTTTCAGAGCTTTATTCTATTCTTAAATTACCTTGGCTCTTCTTTCCTTAAAGCTGGATGAAGGAAAGAAACAGCTTTTCAGGTACAGTACAGTGCTCAGCAAATTCATGCTATTTTGTTCAAGAGAGCCTTATATTCAGATACAACTGAAGTTTCTACCTTGAACTATCCTTTTTAGTAAGTGCTGTTCACCTTGAAGATGTCCCTTGTTCTCACCTATGGCCTTCTGAAGAAAATAAGAGTTAACACATGGGACACCCTGATCTACCTTAAGTATGAAGTTTCCAATGTATGGGGTTTTAGTAAGATGTTTTATTCCCACAAAACAAGGTTACTCCCTGCCATCCACCTCCAGAAATACTGGACAGTTTCTGTTTCCAGAAAAAGGAAAAGTTCTGTTAGGCATAAAGACCAATTATGAGAATTTTTAGTCTGGATTACTGTTTTGTTATATAACATAAAACCTTCTACTGTTTCCTACAATTGCTAGAAACATCCTTCTGAACCTTATCATCCTTTCTCACAAGGCACTCTCTATGTGAGAATGCAAAGGACTGCAAAACCTTTTCATAGCAGACTTCATTCTTTATATTAACCTAGCATAGGCTGAACTATATATAGCATAGGCTGAACTATATAATATAACCTGAACTAGGCTATACAACAACTACAACTATACAAGCTCTGAACACGTACTCTGCTCTCAGATTTCAACATACCCAAGTACATTTTACTTAAAACTCTACACTTAGACTTAAATCTCTTCAAAGTCTGTTTTCCTGTACAGACACTGTATCAACCAGCAGACATTTCATAGAATCATAGAATGGTTTGGATTGGAAGGGACCTTAAAGATCATCCAGTTCCAACCCCCCTGCCAGCAGCAGGGACACCTTCCACTAGACCAGGTTGCTCAAAGCCTCATCCAGCCTGGCCTTAAACACTTCCAGGGAGGAGCAGCCACAACTTCCTTGGGCAACCTGTTCCCATGTGGTATTTGTTCAAGCTCTTGTTCACTAAAGCAAATTTATATCATAAATATTTGAAAACATTTCTCCCCATTACCTAGGCTGAGAGTTCTCCTCATACATCCGCTCTTTCCAAAAGGCTGATGGTCTGCTTGGTTTTCTTCATCAAGTTCTCCATGAATACGCGGAAATACTCGTTTTCTCCCAGGGTCTCCATCTTCCCCTCATAGCGTGACAGGATGGTTCTCAAATGCTGGTAAGTATCGGGGAGCAGATCTAGGATATAGGGTGGGCTGTTCTTCAGCGCCAGCTTTGGGTTCTGACACAAACGCACCACCTAGGGTTAATGAAGAAAAGACCATTTTTAAAACTTAAAGATAGCAAGTAGTGATCAGTTACTTAAACACAATTCGGTGTCACTTACAAACACAATACAGTGACAACATTTACTCTCAACAAACTGCATTTGTTGCTTGAGTTCAGATAGGGAGTCCAGCCCCCATAAAAGAGTCGAGTCTATGGACTGATGAAACTCCCAACATACATAGAATTATATTTCATGAGGCTGCATTTCACCTCAACTGCATTTTCAAAAGCAGAATTCAAGAAAATTCAATACAGAGTTTGTAGATGGCAAGGATGTTAATCTACCACACGAGTCTAGTACTTCCTGACAGAGTCTGACATTTCAGTCTCTGAAGATGCCCATAGGCAGAACTTTACCTGCCTAGCTGCCCTGATTTTAGCTGCAAAAGAGACTTTTCACACCGATCCATATATTCAGGACAAATACATCCACAGAGGAAGCTCCACTGCTACAGATATCGCTGATGCCAGTAAGCATTCCCAGGCTGAAATTTTCAGGAATTTTTCAGGAATTTCAAAAGGAATTTTTGAAGGCAACAGCGCTAGAAGAATCTCCTTTTCTTCCTCCTTGAATACATACAAAGACTAAAAGGAACAGGAGATTTTATGGATAATGACGACCATCAAGAAAGAACAAACACAAAGGAATTTTTCTGTGTGAGAATGAACAACAAGCTGCAGCACAACAGATATGGTAAGAGAAGCCTGGGTAGAAGTGTAGCCTGCAAGAACTTGTGAGCCCTGTTATGGATCAACTTTGCTTCTAACTTCCATTAGATGAATCTCATAGCAAAACCAGATTCTTCACAATAATTTCTGTGGGTTCATTTGGGTTTTTTTAATAACACCACATCCAAAGCGATACTAGTAATTAGATTAAAGGGTTATTAGATGAGCTCAACCTGTCTTCTGCTTGGCATACAACTAAATATCTCATTTTTCTTCCTTCCAAGCCACATAGTCTCTATTCTAGCAGCGAGATCATATATTCTCAAAGTTAAGAACTTTAAGCTATCAACCCAAATTTTTGCCATCTACAGTGATTTTATTGGATCGTTGATAAAATAATCACTACAACAAATGTTATCTGACTGCTTAATAGCAAGTATACGAATGAAGTCTACACTAATGACACTTGCAGGCATAAGGGTATTACAGGTATCAAACAATTAGCACTGCAGAACACAAAGCTTAAGGGAAGTGAATAGGAAAAAGTAAAAGAACAATCTAATGTCCTTCTGCAGCTCACCATTTCCACAAAGCCTTGTGAAACCTTCAAGAGGAATTGACTAGCTCCCTACAATGCATACTTAAGCACCCACTTCCCTTAAACACTTAAATGCTGATGGCAAACAAAGTAATTTATTCCGAAACAGTGCTTTAGCATTTAACTTTGCCATTCAGGGCATATGCAAAAGCAACCTTATCAAGTTAAGTGACATCTTCAATTACATCTGTCTTGCAGTAGTGCCTCTAATAAGAGCTGACTGAGAGAGACTAAATTTCAGTAAATAGGAAGGCACTCGGTGTATCAAAACTAAAACAGAAAAATCTGACTGCAATTAAAAGAATTACATGCCTAAAAAAGCCTCTGCAAGAATACATAGTAAAAAACCTACCAAGTTTTCCCTCCATTTTGAAGATGCTGACAAGGATCAGGAGATCTAGATAAGGAGATGGATGGACAGACAACTGACTTATCCAATTGATTCTGATGCCTCAACTGCTGCTTCCTGGGAGCCCGTGAACATTGTACAATGAACCACATCAACAAATGGAGTCAAGACATTTGTCCCCTGAATAAAACTACTTTCACTCTGCAGCATGAACAGGTTCTAAACGTGCTCCTCAGCTGCAGCTGAACTGTGCTATGGATAACAAAATATTGTCTTCAACCAGAATTATTACACAGTCAGCTCTTGTGAGAAAGACACATTAAGCAAGCACACAAGTCAGAGTATGCACCTCTCTCAGTCACCCGTAATAGAAAACAGTTTGGCTGTTACCCCTTGAAAAATATTCAGCTATAGAAGATCCACTGCATGGCAGAAATGTAACAAACTTCAATATCAATTAGAAAAATTTCCTCACAGCAGAATCAAGTTCTGCAAACCATTCATTCTCACAGCCTCTGGAAAATGTTTCCCAAGTGGTGACGTGCAGCAAAGATACCTCAAATAGTTAACAGAAAACCCAAAACTGCTGTGATTTTATGATCAAGTAGACCAAAATTAGCTAAGATAAGCATTTAAACAAAGCTACGTTAACTGCTGCCTCTTGAGCAAACTTGATCAGTTTTTATAACACAGCAGCAACAAACCCAGTTGCATTTTGCTTGTTTCTCTACATGTGCACTTGCAGCATGGTGACAACATCAAAAGGAATGTTCCCAGCCCTGGGAACAGCTGCCCCTCAGCGAGCTACCCTGCCTTCCACAGGGACCAGCAATGTGGAAGGAAATTGAGCAAAAAGCAGTAAATATTTTTGATTAGGTGTGAAGGCAACAAATACAAGCAATCCATGTTTTTAAACTACCATTCAAACTCATCCAAGTTTGCCCGTCTTATGCTTTGTTCTCTCGAGAACCAGTTTTTTTAAAGAAACATTTTTTGGGGCTTTAGAAATACCAATAAAACATTTCAAGCTTAGCACAAAGATTCTAAGAGGTCACCCTGTGAAGAACCCCAAAATTTACTTCACCAATTTTCATTTTCCAAACTCAAGAGGAGAATATAATTAAAACAAAAACAAAAACAAAACAGTTTCCTTCCTCAGTTTTGAGGAGAGAATCTGTTATCTACTCATTCGAGGAAAAAAAAGTCTCACACAGATTTTCTAGGCCTGGAACTGAACCTCTCCCCTCAAGGTTCTGCAGCTCTGCCTCGACTCATCACTGGATTTCAGATATTTCTCTTCAGTACTGCTTCATTAGACTTGCACAAATAAAGGGTAACTAGCACAGTGCCACTATATACAGGGCGTTGTCACAGGCACAATATATAGAGAACCTGAGAAACACAGCAAGAACCATGAGCTTTTTAAAGTCATGAAGTCAGGTTACACAGTTAATGCCACCTGCAGTGGCATTCGACTATATCAGTTTTAGAAACTGAATGGCACCTGTATGCTGTTTAGAGAAGGTTTATCTCAAAGCTTGTCCTCTTTCTCCTCCATATCTTACTAGATGGACTCTACTATTCTTCAGCTACATCCCTTATACCTCATCCTGAGCGGTTTGTAACTGCACCACCTGTTCTTCAAACACCATCCACAGCAATGAACTCAAGTGGTCTGCATTATCTGCTTCCCAGACCACATTTGCAAGGACAGATTTGTAATCTCACCCTTCTGGTTAAAAAAAAATACAAATTGTTTTCACCAGTCAATACATTTTTTCTTACACTAAACACTGCTTTATTTGCTAAAGACAGTGATGAGTGAGTACGATAAAAACAAATTAACAGCAGTTCCTCCGCATCTCCCTGCTGAGGAAAGGCTGAGGGAGCTGGGGCTCTTTGGCTTGGAGAAGAGGAGACTGAGGGGAGACCTCATTAATGTTTATAAATATGTTAAGGGCAAATGTCATGAGGATGGAGCCAGGCTCTTCTCAGTGATGCCCAATGGTAGGACAAGGGGCAGTGGGTGTGAGCTGGAACACAGGAGGTTCTGCTTCAACTTGAGAAGAAACTTCTTTCCAGTGAGGGTGACAGAGCCCTGGGACAGGCTGCCCAGGGAGGGTGTGGAGTCTCCTTCTCTGGAGACATTCAAAACCCACCTGGACGCCTTCCTGTGTGATCTCATTTAGGTTCCTGCTCTGGCAGGGGGGTTGGACTGGATGATCTTTTGAGGTCCCTTCCAATCCCCAACATTCTGTGATTCTGTGAACCAATCTATACACTTTAGTAGGTTGAAGACACTGCGAGGAAGTTGCTGTGTCTCTTACTGTGCTATTCATCCCTGCAAGCTTGCAGGCTCACAAGACCTCTGACAACATGTTCTATTCCGCAGAGAAAGGCACAAACGTCACCTAATTCAGGTGATGGTGAACATCCTGCTGCACAGTGATGAAAAGGACTATTCTATGTCCATACTATACGTGACCACACGCGACTGCAGGAGGAACAGTTAGTACTGACAAAAATTATAACTTCAAGCAAAAGAATTTGAAATACAGAAATACGTCAGGCAGGTTATGGAGAACATTACAGGGGAAAATATTTAGACAAGAATCAACTTGCATAGGAAATTCATCAGTCACATCTGAAAACAGAGATGCACAAATGCTTTGACAACACCAGCTAATTATGCAGACTAACGAATCAGGTCATCAATGTACTCTACGCACACAGATACAGCACACATTTCTGAAAGGCAAACCTACCATCTATTAAACATGGACTCAAGTTGGTTGGGTTTTTTTATTTGTATCTGTAATTTAATTTATTTGGCCCAGAAAACTAACCCATTTTCAACACCTGCCATTCATTTAGACCTTCTCACCCTAAGTTTCATGAGCACTGTGTTTGCCTGGCAGTTTGCTACACTACTAAAAAGATTTTTAATTCAGATGTGTTCTCCTAAGCGTGCAAAATACAATTAAAGTCTAACTGAAATCTGAAAGGCTTTCCACAGCCAAATCTTTCCTCCTGAACAAATCAGTCTAACAACTAACTCTTTAAGACTTTAAAGATTAAGTCTATGCCTAAGAGCTTTTGGATGTTGCCAACAAGCAAAACAGGGAAGTCAGTGCCTGTTTAAAAGAGGTTATTTTTTAACTTGTGACAAATACAACAGTAGTCTTGTGAGATATCATGGTGGAGAGGGTATACAGCCAAAAACAGGCTATGCAGATCTGAAGCTGTGAAAGTAAAAAACCCATCCCACTGCAATTCAAAATGCCAAGGTAATAATTTCTTTTTTCAGGCCAGCCTTCTCTTTTGAACAGACCAGGTTATGAGATCAAATACAGGTTG